AACATCTTTTTAATGTGGCATCTCTGTGTGGCTTTTCAGTCTAAAGAAATTTACTATAATCATGTAACTGGTTCTCAGATGCTTTATTTTCTGTTAATGATATATGTATATGTCATGTGACTGAATATAGATCATATGAATATATTATGGCTTAAAACTCAGAATTTGAATTTTATGGACTGTGCTAAAATTCAATACAACTACATTTGGATGCAAGCGGGAAAGAGCAACATGTGGCTTGAATTTTCCTTACAATACACCAGGGATAGTTAAAGCGGAAAAGTGCTTGGGACAGAGTATAGCTGGCATTTTGCCAGACTCATACCATTTAAACAATAGTTTAAGACTGAATTAAAATCCCAAGCAGATCTCTTTAATCTCCCCCCCAAAGAGTATAAGATAGCTTTTCAACTCTGAAAGATAGAGTTAATGTAAATACTTCGAATGAGCAAAATGGGGAACGCTGGACTTGAAGAAACTATTTTTGTTCTCTGGAATTCAAGGACTTCCCACCTACACTGAGATCCCCACTCTGCCTTTAAACTGCAAAAGAGGTTATCCCTGGCTTTTGCAACCATTTCTTTAGTTTTCCATTTTCAACACCAACTCCACCCTGCCCTTGCACCCCCACACAGAATCACAGGCTCAAAATCTGGTTAACACAAATACCACCTCAAGCCCTTGTCACATCATCCGAGCCTGAGCATGCCCCCAAAGTATCCTTTCTTCCCATTTCATAATTAGGTACAGTGAAGAATGAAATGGCATTGGAATGAAACGGAATGAAAATGGCAATTTTGTCAGATTAATGGAATTTAAAGAGAATCAGTGGCTTTAATGATCAATGTTTCTTCTCCAAAGGCACTCTATTTCCACACTCAGCTGGAGTCTCCCTGTACTAGTGCCAAGCAGGCAAATGTCACCTTTGAATCCCAGGAGATGTGTTGATCAGCCTTCCAAACTGCTCAATGCAAAGATGCTTGGAATTCAGCAGCGCCACTTCCAGCTAACTGGCTCTGATTCCTATGGATGCAACTAGTCCTCCTCCCTGGCTGGACTAATGCCAGTCTACTTAAGGAGATAATTGACCACAAGCCAGCCTGTTTGACAGGCTTCCTAAGTGCCAGATGCCAACTGTGCCAGTCCCAGCCCTTGTGGGAGGGCCTGCTCTCCTTGGGATGATAGCTAAGGTAGGTTTGTCCTAACCTTGACCCTTAACTCTGTTCTCAACTTCCCTCCAAAATATAATCAAGTGGGTCATTCCAAGTTGTTTTCTGTCTACTTTTAAGACTATCCACACCTCCCTACATCCTTATTGGTTCACTTCATCTTTCTCAGGGTTCACTTAAGTGGGATACAGGCTAAACAACTACAGCTTTTTCTATCATCCCAGAAACTAGGAGCATGATTTCATGTTGAGAGGGTTACCAAAATGTCACCATTAATTTATTATTCCTTGTATAACAGGTTTTAGTGTTTCTCTATAAACTTCTATTATTGCCAAACCAATACTTTGTCAATGGCTGGACCCCTATTAAGCACTAAACCTGGCTCCGATGTCTTTGAAGGGATGTGTTTTGGCACTTGGGTATATAGATCCTGATTCTGGTGACAGCAGTGAGCCTGGGCCTGGAGAGGGGAGTCTTACAGTCCTGGTATCCCAAAAGTCTGTCAGGACTGTTCCTTGCTGGGTTCCTGGCTTGGTAACGTGGGCAGTGAGTGCTGCTGGGGATGAAGGCCTCACAATACAGTTAGGGTTCAACAGCAGGCACCAAGTTAGTGAAGAGGGGTCTTCAGGGTGGTGTCCAGGGCTTTAATTGGGTTATCCCTTGGGATCAGGGTCTTGGCAGAAAAGCCCCACTTCGTTGTTTATTTACATGACTCTCCCTGTTCTCCAGTCTCCACTTCCTACAAAGCTTCCTCTGGGAACCAAGACCCCTCCCCATGCCTCCCACCCCCAAGAAAACTGTGACTTCTCATCTCTTCTCTTTCTCTCCTTACCGTGAAGACCAAACCAGACCACTGTGTTTACCTCAGTGATGCAGGAGGGCTTCCACAGGAGGGGCTGGGTGCCAGGACGATTCAGGCCCACAGCTTCCTCTCTTCCTGGAGAGGCTGACCCTTGACCTAACCCACCCCGGCCGCAGGTCGCTTAGGGCTGCACCTCTCACCTGAGAGCGGCACCGAGGACACCCCTAAAAAGAACATTGGGCCATCCAGGCAGGTGAGAAAGAGGAGGTGTTTTGAAGAAACTCCTGGAATCCCCTAACTAGCTGCAGTTAAACTAGGGTCCGGCCGGGGCTTCCGACTCACTTGGAGATAGAGAAGCCAGACCCCAAAGTCCCCCCAAATTTATAACTCCCATGTCAGGATCTCCTCCTCCTCCTTTTTTTCTCTTTCAATAGTCCAGAAAACCTCGCAGGAAACTTGGCAGTCTCAAGCTGGAAGAATGGGATATACTCCCAAATTGAGCCCCCAAAACAAAACTTCTAGCCTGAGAAGTGTCTCCCAGGCGAAGTCAAAACCTTGACGCAGGCTGCAATGGGATTTGTAAATAAGGGATTATTGGAAACACCTATTTTTAAGATGTAACCTAACTTCCTCCCCACTCCTGCCCCTGCCATTGACATTCTGTGCACGAGTCGTCTTCTGACTTTTTATTTTCTTCTGTGAAAGGTCAGAGGTGACTTTCGCTGGGCCTGGCTGGGCAGACAGAAGCTGGTTTAAAGCAGACCCTGCTAAAGGGTGGAGGGCGGAGGCCCGGCCGCGGCTTTCCAGGCTCCAGCGGAGACGCCGCACCCGGTCAAGGCCGCCTAGCCCACTCCTGGAGCAGCTCTGCAGCCGACGCTGCCGACCTGTCCCCTTCCTGCGGCTCGAGCAGCGTGGCCGCCGGCTTTTGCCGACCAAGACCTTCTGCGGGCCCAGACCCCCGGTTGCGGTCTCCCCCGAGGCGCGGCGACCGCGCGCAACAGGTCTTCCAGGGGCGGTGGCTGGGCGCCGGTGCCTCGTTAATGCGGGAGCGGCAGTGTCCCGGCGCCAACCCTGCTGCCTCCTTCCAGCACCGCAGACTTAAGGGGGCGCCGTCGGGCACCCATCCCGCTGACACCGAGTTCCTGGCCTTAGACCCGTAGTCGAGGACCTCAACGTGTTAGAGGGGTGATGGATAGCGGTGACAAGAAAAACGAACTGCTGCAGGTGTTTGCTGATTCAGTCTCTACCATAGTGGTGAACTTAAGTTCAATTAGGAAACGGGCATGTTAAAAATAGGTGCTGGCCGGACGTGTAATCCTCAGGCCTGTAATCCTAGTACTTCGGGAGGCCCAGGTGGGAGGACTGTTTGAGCTCAGGAGTTCGAGACCAGCCTGGTAAACAGTGAGACCTGGTCTCTAAAACACTACTATTAATAATAAATAAGTAGAAAAAGAGATGATTGTGCCAAAGGCTGAAAGGAGCAATGGAGGAAATCGGTGCTTACTGGTGGCTCGCTCGCGAAATCACCCCTTTGAAGTTCTGAAGTTAAAAGAAATAAGAGGGAGGGAGAGGATTTGCAAAGTGCCCTGACCTAACGGTGGGCACTCAAACCACTGGATAATTGAAACAACTTCACACGGGGCCAGCAGAGATATCTAGAGAGAAACTTTAATGTAGAACACCTCGTACAACACCAGCAGACATAAGCAAAGTCACAACCCGAACGCGGCGAGGACACCAGGCGGAGGTGACTTAGAGCCAAAGGGCAAAGCGGATTTCTCCTCACTCTGCCCCCCTCCATTCCCAAAAGTGTCTCAAGTAAAGTGCTATTCCTGGGGCCCAAGAGGGGGGAAGGGCAGCAGCGACAAGCAAGTTTCTTTCCCATTCACGAACTGAAACTGAAGAATTCGCCTGAAAGACATAAACGCTCAAACAGCACACGGAATACCAAAACGGCCGCAGCGTGCAAAGGTGGCGGGGTGGTCCCCTCGCTTCCCTCCGAGAACACTGGAAGGGAACAGCTGCTGCAAGCGTTAAGAGCAATATTGTCCAGTGATGTGCCGAGCTTTTCCTGCATTCATAAGTTAGGGGAACAAAATCCCGCTATACAAGTGATTGGTTTCCTTAAAATTCCAAATGAAACGGATCGTGGGAATTCACATCATTATTCTTGGGCGCTCATCCGATTGATACACAAACGAGTTGCAGGTGGAAAGTCGCCTGTATTGTCTCTCTTTGGTCGTGTTTCCCAACTTTTGGAATTTGGGGCTTTACCCTTTAAGCTGCTGCCATTCTCTTTTGTGCAAACTAATTGCTCTAGCGGTTCCTCCCATCCTTCCTGACCCCCGGGTCAGAGCCAAGAAACTTAGCTGTTTCTCAAAGATATTTCGTGCGGTTCCCGCCGCCTCCTCTTCTCCCCCACCCCCTCCAAAGCGAGTTTATTAGTGACACCGTTTCCTCGAGCATTTAGCTGACTCGGAAAACAACGTTATCAAACGCTTCCTCTTTTCCTTCCCAAATAAAACGAGATTTCCTTAGTCGAGGGCAGTTTTGTCTTGAATGTTCACGAGAGGCGACCGCCGGGGATGAGAACGGCAGAGAGAAACGTGGTGGCTGAGATCCGTTTCAGCGTCACTCTCTGTTGTATTCTCCCCGGGAGGTTTAGCTCTGGCAGCTTCTGCTCCCAGGAATAAGGGTCAGAATCTACTTCCAATTTACCAGCGAATGAGGCTTTCCTAACCTCCTTCGTTCCCTCGTCCCCTCCCCCGATAACTTACCGATTTATATGAATTACAATATAAACTCTTACCTGAAAATTGGCTTTCATTAATCTGATTGTACAACATAGTATAAACACAGACACAAGGAGGGTTATATTTATTCGGACCACTGGAGAATCCAGTTTTCGAGGTTGTTCGTCAATTTAAATACCCTCCGTTCCAGCAAAGGCTCACACTCACCAGCTCTGCCTGCCCGGCCTGGCCAGGGCGCCCTCTCCCCGTCGGGTGGTTTCTGCGGTTCCGGGTCCCCTAGGAGTGCACTAGCACCGAGTGCAGGGAGCTGCCCTTGCTCTCGGCCGCGGTCGGGGCTGTGGGCTCCAGCAGAGAGGCGACGGGCGAGGCCGCGGCCGCGGAGCACACGGTGGATGGCGCCGGAGGCTGCTGCGAAGCCGCGGGGACAGTGAGCGCGGGCTGCAGCGAGGACACTGGCGGCAGCGCAGGCGTGGGCTTGATGGGCACCGGCACCGCAGGCAGGCTCTGGCTTGCCGAGTGGCACAGGGCTTTGACCGGGACCCCGAAGGCCCCATACTCCGGACCTACAGGGACTCCGGCTGCGGCCGCGGCGGCCGCAGCGGCGGCCACCGAATCCATGACTCCAACGTGAGGCCACACAGAGCTGACGACGTTGCCGAGCTGGCCGGGCACGGGGTAGCCCAGGTGGTGCATGACGGACGCCAAGGGCAGCCCTCCAGACTGTAGCACGCCCTTGTAGTCCCGGCCAATAATGTTCTCAATGGCAAAGGGGTGCTTGAAGCCGGATGTGGACGCCGCGGCTGCGGCGGCAGCGACGGCGGCTGAGCCCAGCCCGTAGGGTGGGAACTGAGACAGGCGCCCCACGCTGCCCACCGCGGCCGCCGCCGCCGCCGCCGCCGCCGCCGCCACGGCCGCCGCCTCCTGCATCTTGCCGGGGTGAGACGGCTGCTGAGGCTGCGACTGCTGCGGCGGTGGCTGCGGGGGCTGCGACGGGAGGTGCGGAGGCGGCTGAGGAGCAGTAGGCGGCTGCTGGTGGAAATAGTGCACCATGTGCGGCGGCGGCGGCGGGGGCGGCGGCGGCGGCGGCTGGGGTGGGTGGTGGTGATGGTGGTGGTGCGCGGCAGCGTGGTGATGATGGTGGTGGTGGGGGTGGTGGTGGTGATGGGGGTGAAGGTGCCCTCCTGGCCCGGCGCCCGGCGCGCCCTTGGTGCTTCCCGCGTGCAGGTGAGCATGGTCCGCGCGCAGCACCTTGAAGCGCTTGCGGCGCCGTAGGAAGCTACCGTTCTCGAACATGTCGCCGCAGTCGGGGTGCAGCGCCCAGAAGCTACCCTTGCCAGGCTGGTCGGGCCGCCGCGGGATCTTGATGAAGCAGTCATTGAAGGAGAGGTTGTGGCGCAGACTGTTCTGCCAGCGCTGTGTGTGCTCGCGGTAGTAGGGGAAGCGCTCCATGATGAACTTGTAGATGTCGCTCAGCGGCAGCATCTTCTCGGCTGAGTGCTGGATTGCCATGGCGGTCAGTGAGATATATGAGTAGGGCGGCTTTTGGTCGCTATACGAGCTCTTCCCTGGCCGCGGCATCGCCCCTGGCTCCTCCACTGTCCTCCGGCCTGCACTTGGCCACAGATTTCTCGGCACTTCTTTCCTGGGGCCTGGCTGCCCCCTCTAATTCCCACTCCGCCAGTCCAGTCCCGCCACTTTGCCCGCTCGCCCTCCAGGCCGTCTCCGCTTCTCTTCCCGGCCTTCTGCGAATTGCCTAGTGTTTCCGAGTTTGATCTTTCTGGCCTACTCAGCTCTTGGAAGCTGGCAACTTCTGGCCCCGACGGTTGCCGAGTGGCGCGCACAGTCGCAGGCGGGGCGCGCCAGGTTTACCGCTGCCTTCTCTGGTCTTCCCTCGGGTGGCCAAAGACCGAGTGCTGTAGCTGACGGCTGTGGAGAGAGTGGCGAGGGGTTGTGTTTCCTCTGGCCTCTTTGCTTTTTCTAGGTCCAAGAGAAACCCAGATCAAGCTGGCTGAAAAGAAGGTCTGGGCAGTAGAGACTCTGGTCCTTTAAATCCGAGCTTGCGCCTGCTGTCCTGGAGGCCAGTGACAACAGGACTTCCAGCGCCCTAGACGCAGTCTCCTGCCCAGGCACTGGAGTTCTTCTTTTCCTGGAGGGAAAAATCAGGATAAGGAGAGAGAAGATCGGCTCCTAGCAGCCTGCGCCTCTCTTTTCTCCGAGGATCGCAGCGGCGTTAGAAGAGATGCCAAGCCCTAGGCGATCGCTGCGGGAGAAAAAGTTTGGTAGTTCCTGCAGCAGCGGCGCCCGCAGGCTCCGCTGAGAGGCAGGGGGGCGCGGGATGCGCGGTGCGAGCGGCGTGCTGGCGAGGGCGTCTGCGAATGCAGAGTGAGTGCTGGCGGAGGAGGCTCAGCCTTCCGCGCCGCAGCTGCCGCCTTTCTCCCCGGCTTGTCTGGAGGAGAGGCGGCGGCAGTGGCAGCGACGCGCTCTCCTGGCTGCGTTTTGTAATGGTCCCCGAGACGCCGAGACCCCCGCAGCTAACGCTTCGAGACTATCACATGACCGAGGCTGAGGGACTCAGCCGCCGCCGCCGCCGCCGCGTCTGCAGCTGAAGAAGGGGCTAGAAGGCGCCGCGCCTCGCCCCCGCCCCCTTTTCCACCTCCTTTCGGGCGCTCTCCACCCATCGCGTTCACCACCCGCTCCGCAGCCCCCAGCCACGGCCTGGTGCGGAGGGTGGCGCAGGCTGTCCGCCCGGAGGAGGCACAACTCCGAGTGCGGTTCCCGCTGCTGCACCCAACCCGGGGTCCACTCCACCATGCACCGTGGAGGGGGCAGAACACTGCCTTCTTGCTTCTCTTCTCTCTGGCATCTCCCTTTCCCGTCCCCTTCCTTTTACCCTTCCCTGTTACCCATCTGCTAGCTCTGAGCTTCTCTTTCCTTACAAACCCTTTTTCCTGGGCTAGCCACTCCGGGTCAAGTTCAGAGTATCTTGTTCTTAAGGCCTCTTTTCTGCAAGAAACCCCAATGACCAGAGGGCTAGAGGGAAAAGCTCATGGGGAGGAAAGCCTGCGGTGTTTTCGCCACATGCCAAGTTCATCGCAATTTTATTGTGTGCCAACTGCATGTGAGGCCCAGTGATCCGCGCCACGTACAGGGAGATAGAAGTCAGTATCCAAGCTCCACTATTGCGGTATAAAAGGCGAGACGGACAGTAACCAGGAAATAATTAATAGAATAGGCACTAAGGGCTTGGCAGATGGAGGCTCCATCACACTTTCCTGTAGCGAATGAGCTGGACAAGATGAGGTTTCTCTGGGATGGTGATGTCTGAGCTGGGGCCAGAAGTAAGAATTGGGGCTCAGGGGTCCCAACACCTGTGTGTACTAGAAGGAAGTCTTTGCTCTTCTTAGCATGGGGGTGTGGGGTGGGGCAAGGCAGGACGTGGAATGGAGATAATTAAATAAGAAGCAAAAATTATCAATCCACAGAATCCTGGTGTGATCTGCGATGGAGAGGTGGATGAACCCAGGCCTGAGGTCCTTCTGCTGGCAGGTTGCTGCTCTGCACTCATCTGCACACCCAGGAGGGAACGCCGGTTTACTGCAGGGATAACTTGACGTTGTATTCTCGTTTTGGCTACCTTTGCCCTTCGGCTGGGAGGAAAAGCAGAGTTTAGAAACAAGTATTCTCTCCGTCTCTGGGCCTGTTTCATTATTTGTAAAACAGGGTGGCTGAAGTTGGAAATTTCACGGATCCTTTCCTGTTATGCGATTTGAGGAGAAAAGGGCATCTAGACACTAAGGCTTACTCGGTTTTCCCACGCCTAAACTCGAAGAAAGCCCTCGGCCCAGCTGCTTGGGGCGGGGGGGCTGCCCCTTAACTAAGCAACCTTGGTGACACCGGGTCGGGTATTTTCGGCTTCTGGCTTTTGGTGAGCTGCACGGTGGGAGCACATCTGTCCGTGGGGTAGCTTAGGCAGGTCGCAGGAGTGCCGCGAGCGGGTCAGGCTCCTAATTTCCACCTTTAGCCAGGAGCTAGATTTACGGCTAGCTGTGTGTGACCAGTTTGTCCTAGGCCAGGAGACGTCTGATAATAGGTGTTACGATTGAAGCTTGCAAGAAGGCCCCGGGGAAAACAGCAGCTTCTTGGTCCTAAGCCCTTTTCACAGGACGATGTTTTCTCTTTCACTGCATGCCAGAAACGTTTCTCTTGCCATAGGAGTTTCTGCGGGATTTTTGTCCGCTGAGACACTTTAGGGAGCCGAGCAGCAGACGGCCTCATAGCCTCGGGAAGCCACAGAATTCCAAGGACGCTCGCAGTTTGACAGCAAGAGCCCGCTGGAGCCAGGTGGCCCTTTTTCCTTTGAATAAGACGGTGCGACAACAGCCCTGCCCCAGCCCAGGAAGCTGGGGTCTACTGCAGGGCTATAAGGCCGCTGCTGAGGAGCTCGGCTTGCGGCTTCCGTAAAGGCTCTCCGGACTTCCACCCCACACGCAGTTCGAGCAAAGGGATCTTTGGTCAGTAGCTCGGATAGCCTCTCTTCCGCGGGTTACTGGAACAGCTGAGTCTCCTTTTGGGGAGCAGCTCTGGGACCGAGCCCGTTGGGCATTTGCGGCGCGTGGGAACAGATCGAGGGGAGGGGCTCTTCAAGGACTCCCGGGACAAGTTTTGGGCGCGTAACACCAACCCTGAACACTAAAAATGAGCCAGACGCTCACTGGGTGAGCTCGCTACAGCCTGCAGACCCGCCGCCACAACCTCAGGTTCAGCGCCAGGGAACGCGACCAGCGGGGCCAGTGTCTTAGGCCCAGGCGAGCCGAATTCAGGGGCCCGGATTCCACGCAAATTGGGCCGAAACAGCCGCGGAGGCTGAGCGAAGCGCCCCGAGCCTCCCGCTTCCTCATTCGGAGTGTGCTTGGCAAGGATAGAAAGTGCTCCCCACCACCGAGGCCACAGTGGGCCGCGGCGGCCCAGGCCGCAAGTGTGGCCTAGAGCGCGGACCCGGAGCGCGAGTCGCGCGTCTGTTTTGGAGAGTGGCGGGCTGCAGCCGCCGCGGAGGATCTTGGGGGATTCCGAACGCGGCTCGGGTCCCGGCTGCAGAGCTGGGGCCGCGGTGGGCGGGGAGGGGAGCGCGCTCCCGGGAGGTTAATTCAGACAAGTTTTGCAGACGCGCAGTGGCACCCGCGGGGGCAGGAACGCGCGCGCTCCAGCTGCCTGCAGACCCCCGCTCAAGAAAAACAGATCGTGTAACCACCCTGGCACCAAGCAGTCGGTTTCAAGTTTCCGCGAGTAATCTTTTTTTTTAAAAAAACAACTACGGCACTATCCAAATATTGGCTGGCGCTCAGGACGCTGGCAGGCAAGCATTGCCCTGGGCTTAGTGTAATTATCTCAGGCATATTTGGTTTACCCCTTAGGCAATTGTTGGCGACGCTTTGCTAGGAAGAGGGGTTCCAGGCAAGCTTTTATTGCGTTTAATTGGCTCTATGGAGGGGAGTAAAACAAGATGTGGAACTTTAGGAGCGGTTATTTATTCATTCTCTCTCTTCCATGCCCCCAGCCCCTGGAGGGTCTCACGCGCTCCTGGGCCTGGGTCTAGGCCAGGCCTTCCTATGGCTTCTGCGGATAGCTGTGCCCAGCGCGAGGAGGAACGCAGGTTACCGAAGGGCTAGGATGACGTGCAGGACTAGACAGAAGGCAAAGATTCACACGTACATCTTAATTGCCATGGGCTTTCCCTTTATCCACTGACCTCTGACGTGCGGAAGGTTGCTTGGGTTAGTTGCGTTTGGGTGTCTCCCAGGAGCCTTCTTGGTCACGCTAGCCTGGCACTTGCCTGACCCTCGGCTGACTTCTCGGCGCATACTTTTCCCGGACGAACTCCTGAAGTGAATTTGAAAAGGGTGGGAAAAAGTCAGCCCCGGAGCGCGGAAACCTGGCTTTCAGCTTGAGTCCCAGGCACCACTGACTGGATGACCCTGGAGGCGTCATTTCCTCGCTTTGGGGTTATTTTTCTTTCCAGGATTACTCAGCAGTCAGAACTGCGCCTTCGAAGGCTCCAAGGAATTGAGGTTTGAAGCTGTGATCTCGACCGTGGAGTGGTGCTCGGTGCCTGGGCGCTGGGCGCGGGGAGCTCAGCACACTGTGCAGCTCGGGACGGGGCGGGGCATCAGCGCCACGCGTCCACCCCTTGTGGCGTTTTAGAAATCCGTAGCCTCCAGCGTCACCACCCGACCCGACAGCTCGGTGAAGTGCATCCCTCCCGGGTTTCCGACCCGTCCACCCCCGGCGCCGGGCCCAGCAGGCGCCCAGAACACAGGTGTTGGCTCCGACCCTACTTGGATTTGAGTGCATAGGCTCGATTTGACTTTTCGGAATGGCCGGGGGTGGGGGGTAGAAGGGAAAAGGCTGAGGCCGAGGGCATTTATTTCTTGGAGGAAAAAAAAGTACTGGCCTTGAATTTAGGAGAGGACACTCTAGCTCCAGCTTCGCCACCTATTGGCTATGCGACTGCCTCCTCTCTGAGCCTCAGTTTCCTCTTCTCTAAAGTGGCTATGACCCTCTTGCCTTAAAAGTGCGATTCT